TGATGGCTTTTATTAGATTAAAAGATGCATGCATCCTGCTTACTCTTTCTTCAACGCAACAAGATACATCAACTGAATATAACGATAATAATTCGCAGCAAAAAACTTTAACTCAAATAATTTCTATACTATTCGATGAAGAATCAGAACTTTCGGCTGTCTCTAGGATGTTGGAGAGTTTGGGAGTTTATCACCTATCTCCAAAAGAGGCTAAAGAGGTGGTCGGAAGAAGGGTCGATTGTTGGAAATAATCGTTGAAATTTGATGACTTCTGTTGTTAAAAATAAATTACAATTATCTTATTTCATGATCTTAATAAATGAAATTATATCGAATGAACTTAGTTTTGGAGGGAAATAGAAATAATTTCATTTTTGATTTTTAAATTAACTTATACATTTAATCACTAATTTTCTATCAGAGTATAGAACTACCGGAATCCGTTAAACTATTTGCATAAAATAAAAATCGTTAATAAAAAATTTTTTTAAAAAAACCACATGCGCTTTCCTCTATTGTATTTTTGAATTTTGCTAGTAATAATATAGAAAAACCAGTTATGTTAATAGCAACATAGTGCAAGAATCGGCGTTAATAGTTACTACGCAAATCCAATTATGTTAAATAAAATAAGTAGTTTTAATTAAAAATATATCTTTTTTTTTTACAATTTAAAAATTCAATTGAAAAAGTTTAACAAATAAAAATTTTTTATCTCAAACATTTGAACAATATTTAACTATAAAAATCTTGTAAATAATAATTTATAAAGTATTTCTTGCTATTTTATCAAATATAATTAATTAAATATAAAGAAAGATATATTTTTTTTTAATGTAATGTATTTATTTTCTTTGACTTATAGTATATTTTACAAAAATTGTAATTTTATAAATTATTATAAAAGATTAATTAATTAACAGTAATTATACTGTATATACAGACTAGAAAAAAAAATTTTTTATTATTACATTTTAGTTTTATAATTTAATAAATAAAAATTTAAATAAAAATAATTTTAAATATCTTTTATACAGTATATAAATTATAAAATATAATAAATAATAAATTAAATACTAATGTTTCTATAAAAAAAAATTCTTTTACATATATAATTTTTTTTCAAAATTAAAGAAACAAATATTTTTTTTTCACCTTTCAATATTCAAAAGTCATTTATACTTTCTTTATCTTTATTACAAGAGTCTCAAAAAAAAACAAAAATTATATTAGTATATTGAAATAAAATCTTTGATTAAAGAAAAAAATTTGAAAGTTTTTTTTTTTAAATTATATAAAAAAAAATCCATAGCAATTATTTTTTATATTTTTTTCTTGAGGCTTTTTTTATTTTTATTTCTTATTTTTTTTTTTTTCCATAATTAAACAAGTATATTTAAAGTTTATTTAATCTTATTGCAGAATACATATAAGTTAAATTACTTGTATGCATAAACTCTAATTCTTATACTTGAATATCCATCTTTAATATATTTGTCTCTAGATATGATTTTGGAGATAATAAAATTGCTTATTCTTGCTTACTTATTTTAGAAATAAGTGTCGAAATCATCACTTGCAGTTCATCACTACAGTTTGTCTTAGCAAAATCTTGATTACATTTATATACCTAGCCATCTTCTCCTTTCCTTAATCTTTATCCATAATATTTCTTTGAGTTTTTTCATAATGTTTCTTTTTTCCTTTATGTTTTAAAATAGACTGTCTTGCTTATATTATCTTCTTCTGGTAAAACCAGGAGATAATAAAAAGTATCTCTCTAATGTTTCTTTTTTCTTCTCTTGTGATCTGTTTATCCTTTTTTTCTTAAGGGATCCATATGTTTCTGTTAAACTGCCTGGATCTGTTTCTCTCTCCTTTCCTTTTATAGATCATTACTTAGGTGGCTATTTGTTTTTCTGAATTTTTTTATATCTGGGATTCTATACATATTGTCTCATCAACTTGTACCACACTTTAGATATCTTGAATAATAATCTTTTTGCTTGGATACGAGAGATCTTAATTGTTTTTAAGTTTGTTTCCTATTCTGTAACTTCTTTCCTCTTCTATAGTTCTATACTTAAGTTGATTAGTTCTTTAGCCAATTCAATTTTTTCCTTTTATCGTAATATTATTTTTATTTCTTATTAATATATAAATTTTATCAAATAAATATAAAAAACTGTTTTTTATTTCAAAAATCAAATTTTATATTAAAATTATTTATATTGTTAACTTAAAAAACCTACAGTATATTTAATACTTATCTTTTAATAATATTTAATATACTTTGCTATATTATAAAACTTTAATAATTTTTATTTAAATATTTTTTTATTAAAAAATTATAATCAATTTATTCTTGTCAACTAATTATTATTTTAAACTTAATTAATTAAATATTATTAAATATCAAAATAAAATTTATATATCTAATATATAGTATTATATTATAATTAACAAATCCAATTTTTTTTTAATAATAATTAATGTTAATATATATTTGTTCTGTTCAGTGCTTAATGAAATAAAGCAATAGAATCTGCACTCTATTGATTCCATTGACTTCATTATGGTACAGTATATTATAATCAGCATTGGTAATGGAAAAGTTGCCTTTTCAGGATGATCAATATTAATAGTCAATAAAAGATATATTTCTCATCTAATCTAATTTCTCATATAATAATCTTTTTTCTTTTATACAACTATGACAACATTACTATGAAATAATATATAGGTGGAAAACTATCTTATAAATTTATTTTCTATATTAAGGTCTTATTAATGCAAGTAAACAAGTCTAATAAAATTGCTATGTATAAGGCATATATCAAGAAATTGGAAAGAGAATTGATATTGGATAGATCAGTATTTACTAATACAAAAATTTGTATGAAAGTATACTTAAAAAAGTATATACAGTTTGTTGAATTATATACTGAAGAAGAAAGAACAAAAATTTTATATGTATCTAATGAAGAAAGCCAGCAAATGAATATATTATTAATTACTACTTCAAGCATCTTTCTTTCAAGTTTATTAGAAAAAATCATAACACTGCATAAACCTACTTCTCCTATATATTATTCATAAAGTCAGCCATTGAAAAGTTCTATTGAAAACTATCTTTTTTATAATTTAAATCCAGTTGAATATTGCATATTTGAGTATTATTTATTAAAAGTTATAATAAGTAATAGCTGGATATTTAGGTAAATAGACAATTCTAAAGTCTCTATCCTTTTTAGATTTCTCAACCCAAACATTTTCTTACCTGGATATCATGCTCTCGCTGATCACATTCTCTTATTATACAGTAAAGAATTGCAACATAAACAAGTCATTAATGTCAAAAAAAAAGAACTTGATAATACTCTGACATTCAATAACTAGAAGAATATTAATTGTTAAGAAGTCTTAGGAAGTATTCTTATCACAAATACTTGTATAAAAAACTGAAGACATTTCTAGAGATGATGCTCACACAATTGATATGGTGAAAAAAATTAAGAGTTTCTTCACATATATAGAAAAGGATAATGTTAAAATTATTGTAGTAGTAACAGATAGTGCATTAACAAAGTTAGCTAACATACTAAGAAAATTATAAATTCAGATGGTCTTTGATAGTAATTTATTGGTTTGTTTTTTTTTTGTTTTTTTTTAAAAAGCTAAGATAATTATCACTCTTTATATTTTATTGTAATTTTTGACTTTTCGAAAAAAGATTTACAAATTGGCAAAATAATATATGTTTCTCTAAACTATAAGTAGAGTTAAATGCAAAACTCAATGATTCCCCATCTATACACTAATCAAAATAGTGCCATTTGACATGCTGCCACTTGTCAAACATTTGGATACAACATTCGACATAGTATTATTTGGTAAAATTTGGTATAATATCACTCGACAAAATTTGGAATATGCTGAATTATAAAATAATATTTTATTTTTTGTAATAATTATAATAAATAATTGTAAAAAAAAAATAAAATAAAATTTATAGTATATTTTTTTTAAAAAAATCAAATTTAGATAAAAATTGTTTTATACCTAATTATAGCCGAATTTTAGTGATTTTAAATATTATACTTGTGGTTTAGTGAAATTACAGCTAAATATTTATAAGAATTATACCGATTTGATATTTTATATATAAATAAAATAAATCAGTCAAAAATATTATGAATAGGAATTATACATTATGTTTAATTGAGTAAAATTTAGTATTCCATAATTCAATATTCGTTTCATTTTCTGAGCCAAAATAAAATCTCACATCTGCCGAATTAACTGATTTAAACCATCGAATAAAAGTTAATTTATGGCATATCATATTATTCGGAAAATTAATCAAATATGTAAAAAAAATTGAACTTGTTCTGGATATAAATCGACACTTCCATCATAATTCACAAATCAGGTTAACATAAATAAATCCTTTATATTTCGTGAAGACAAGAGAATCAAAAATTTTGCTTCCTATTCAGCATCTTCCATATTGATGTGCTCTATTCTGAATAACTATCAAATTATTAATATCATTTGTAAATAGTTTTCGAAAGTTTATTA